ATGATCTTCATAGAAGATCTATATGGCAATAAAATTGACTTCCTATTCTACCAATTAAATCTATCTAAAATTTTACCTGTCACAATGTCTTTCTGATCATATGTAATATATTCTAATATCAGGTAAAAGTATTAGTAATTCTGATTAGTATTAGTAAGTACAGAAAAAAGTGACTTAAGTATCTGTGACTGAAAATGATCTTTCTATTTAAATTTGACAGTGATTCTGAGGTCTAAAAGCTCTAAAAGTTAGCTCTTAGTGATATTATTTAGATAACAAACCTTAAATCAGTATTTAGCAGATAAATTTTGATATTTTATCATAATCTTATAGTTTTAAGATTAGTATTAAATTACTTTGTAGTCCTATACATATATACAATTGTTACATAAGATTTCTAGTATCTTAGTTATTGTAATTATAAAAAATTATTCATTTTTAATATTAATTTAAAAATTTAACAAATTGAAATTATTATAGTATAGATTAATATAAAGTAAAATTTCAATTTTAGTGAAATAGGTCTAAGAGTCTCATTTTTTCTAACAAACCTCCCATATATTAATTGATAATTAAAATATAAACAGACATATTATTAATTTAGATTCAGGCTTTAAATTACTTAATAAATAACCTTCTGTTAGATCTTTTTTAATATAATTGTATTATTAACAAATGAAATGTATTAATTTTTATTAAATTTATGAATATATTAGAATTTTAATTATGAATTATGAAAAATTTTTGAATAAATTTTTATTATTACAAATAGAAATTATTAGTCATGAGAAATCAATTAATAATTTATTTACTAAATATTATGAAGATACATATATAGATATAAAATTTAGAAAACTATTTACAAAAGATTTATCTGATGTGATAATTATTTTTAATAAAGTAAATTAATATAGAAATGTTAAATCAGTACAAAAAATTTTGATTTTGCAATTACATTATAATATATTAAAAGTTCATTTATTTTAGCTAAATTTAAGTCATAATTAAAAAAGTATCAATACTTACTCAGGTCAAATTTAATTTTTCTTTGAATATAATATTCATTTATTTCCCAAAATTTGACATATATATTGGCTTATATTAAATGATATAAAGTGACAAGTTTATTATTAATTTGATTTCATTTTAGCATTGATAATAATATTAAAACCTATAATATCAAATTTTAGAAAATGGTTTCTATTCAAATAGTAGAAATAATATAATTTTAGTCTATAATATTTTAAGTTAATTTATACTTATAAAATACTAAAAATCAGATTGATTAATTTTAAAAGATATTTAGCTATTATAAACAGAAAATTTTACTTATGTTAATTTAATACAATATTGAATTAATATTTACAAGTTAATTTTACTATAACAATTAATATAAATATATTAATATTATATTAAAAATAAATAATATATTACATTATTATTATTTTATAATGTTTAATAAATAAAAAATGAATAAAAAAGATGTAATTTTTTTATATTTTATATAAAAAGGTAATAATTTAACTATTATTCTGTAATATTAATATAAGTAAAGTTTTAATAAAAAATTAATATACAATTTATCTATCATTTTGCAAAATTAAATTTAGGTTAAATTTTCTATAATTATTAAATCTTTTAAAATTAGCTAAATTTAGGCTGAATTTATGATGTTCAAATAATTTTATTTTAAATAATATTTTTATTAAATTTTTAATTTCGCTATAAGATCTTTCTCATTTAATTTATTACTAAAAATAATTGTTCTTAAATAATGTTTAATTTTCTATTAAATAAAGATAATATAATAATAATTATTTAGTTTAATTATATATTATTAAAATGTTACTTTAATTTAATATATAATATAGATTTAAATTTTTATTAATAAGCATATAGATAACAAGTTTATAAGACTATTTTTTTATAATATGCTTTATCTAATTATCTAATTAAATTAATTTTAGTGATTATAAATAAAATTTTATATAATATACGATAGGTAATTAAATGTATTTAGTTTTTCAGAAATTATATGACAGTCAATAAAAGTTTACTCTAATAAAATATATTTTTACTAATTAATTAAACTCTGATATATTAATTAAAATTATACAGTATATTTAATTACGATTATTCTAAAATTTTATATAAATTTAATCTATATTGAATTAGATAATTTGGATTTTATCTAAAATATTTGTGTTTTAATGTAAATTTTTAGTTATAATTCAATTTCAAATTTTCTGATTTTAATATACTAATTTATTTAAATAAATATATTTATTATATCAAAAATATATATTTATAAATTTTTAGACATATCAGATTTATATATAGTATACTATGTTTAATTTAAAAAAAAATTTATAATTTTATATTTTATATAAATTTTATAAAAAAATTTTAAATAATTATTTTAAATAATAAATATAATAATTTACTATAAAATTTATGTTAAAATATTCTGAAAGTAATAAAATTTTCAAATATCAGTCAATTTTTTGTAAAGATTTTTTTGATTGTTAGCTATAATCCTAATTTCTATATAGGATTAATAAAGAAAAAATTTTTTTAATAAAATAAATGTATATTTTATATAAATTTATATTAAGCATAAATTTAATTAATTAGAAATTTTAATAATGAACTTTTTTTAATATTATAAATAAGTTTACTTAATTTATAATATACATTAAGATCAAAAAATTTAAAGTTTAATTATAACTGAAAGTTTGCATTAAAACTACTAAATTTCTGGATAAATTCTAAAATATTTAATAAATATAAGTCAAATATATATAAAAATTTTAGGATTAATATGATTCATTATGATATATAACATTACTTAAATTACTAAAGCTAAAATAATTAATAAGAAAAATTTTTATTAGAGCTAATATTTGCTGAACAGTCATATAACTTCTAAGGTGCTAGATACTTTTGATCATCTACTGTATAATAAAGGATGAATAAAAAAAAATAAATTTTAATTATATTTATTATAAATACTATAAATATAAGATACATTTATATAATAGAATATCAAAAATCATTAAGTACTTAAAAATTACAAAATTAATGGAATTTTAAATAAAAATGACATCTCTTTTTGCAATAGAAGAAAGATTCAAAATTAGCTATTCAAGTAAAATGCTTAATATGATTTGGAGTATGTTTTTATGAGCCATCAATGCAATTCATAGTTGGACAAGATCCCAAATCACAAATATTTTATGAAAATAATTTAAAGCAACTTCCACCTGGTTGTTATACCCACAAAATACTTGATAAAGTAATAGATTGTGTTAATTATTTAAATGATATAAAGGAAAACTTTAACATATTTTTTGCTGAAGAATTATTGGAAGCTGTTGATTATTTAGATTCTGAACAATTTGGAGAGATATTTGAAAATCTTAATAATGGAATGCAAAAAGCATTTGATCATTTTAAAAAGTGGATGGGTCCTTGATGTCATTTACCATTATCAATTTGTAGATTAGAAGGAAATTCTGGTCAATCTTTTGCTCGAAGCTTTCGTTATATTATTTTAAAGCAACCCTGGATAAATGCACCTAATGAAGATGAAATAAGATATGATGAAGAATTACACAATTATATTACCAATTTCAATATAAATGATTTTGGATTGTTAGCATTGTTACCAAGACGAAAATTTCGGCACGAAATTTGAAGAATTCTGTATGCTAGAAGAACCGCTTTTACATCATTATCCTAATCTTTATGAATTTGTAAAAACTAGAATTTACTTTATTTATATCCATCAACTGCAAGTTGAAGGATTATTTAATAAATTAGATTTGAAAACGCATTCTAATATGATAGCAAATCTCAAGGAATCAAAACTAAGATTAACTGCAACAAATCTCGCTAAGGAAATTTAAAAGATGTTCTCAAAGACAGCCTTAAAGAAACTCGATCTCAAAGAAAAAATTCAAGAGTTCTTTCAGAGATACAAGATAATCAATTAACTTAGGTTCAAGCTTCACAACTCTTTGAAAAGATGAGATCAATATAAAATTCTATCAATTTAATACATTTAAGAATAATATTTAGTACTAGCTATAAAGAAAATTAACATATATATTATATATATTATAAATATCAATTTCGTCCGGTTTTTATTTTGGTTTATAAAATCCTTTTTTCAGCCGGCATTTGTCCGAAATCCGAATTAATGGGTTTTCATAAAATAAAATCTTGCAATACAAAGTTTTGATTTACTTAGTTGACTGAGCACCCCAATGTATCGTGTCACACGTATTCTGTAAATTATAGTTTAGCAATCAAAAATAAAAAATAAATATCAAATAATATAAGAATGTATTTTATTAAAAGAAAATAATTAAAATAATACGATTTGACTGGTTCTAATAAACTTTATATTAGACGAAACAAGTTATTATTTTAATCTGATTAATTTTTTTAATGGACTTTCAAAAACGTGATAATATTAAAAAAAAATTTATCCAAAAAAAATTTTCTTATAAATCATTGCGTAAATCGGCTGCGAAAATTAGTTGAATAATTATATTTTTTTCTGATTTTTTTTTTGTTGCCATTTGTCTGTAAAAAACCCAGATGTGGATACGGGTTGAACTAGTTAATACCCCTTTAATATGGAATTAATTGTTTATTTAAGCAAATATAAAATAGATTTGATGCTAAATATTTTCTATCAAAATAGTATTTGCCACAAAAAATGTTTATAAAGAAAAAAAAAAATAGTAAATATACATTTATTACCAATTGCAATTATTAACTATTAAAATGTACACTATACACGAGAAAAAACCTTTACTAAACGATCAAAAGATTTTAATTTCGCTTTGATATCTTCTGATACTTACAACTATATTTTATTTTTTTCACATTTGAAAGATGCTGATTATTTTGGTAGGATTTTAACGCTCAATGATGTTAATTACGTTTGTTGTATATTATTGATAAAGTTAATACATCGATCTTGCGGACTAGCATTATGAAACGCTTTTTTGAATACATCTTTATTGTGATTTTTGCTTAATAAGCTTAATGCACCACTAAGAAATAAAAATAAATTAATTTACATGAATAGATTACAAATACAAAAATGAAAAAAAAGTATATACCTCATCAGTGCCACAAAGTCTTTCATTATGACCGACAACTTCTTGGAAAGTATCATTTCCAATAATAAATTGAAAATCATGACTACGTAAAAATTTTTTATGAAAATTGTTTTCAATGTTAATAATA